GTATGGATGCACAGATTCAGTGACACTCATTTACAGGTCAGATGACAACTTTCGGGAGTCTTTTCTCTAGTTCCACAATGAGGGTGTCCAGAGATCAAAATCAAGTTATTGGCTTGCAAACAAAGACTTGTAGTGGTTTTGCTCCAGCAATCAGTTGTGTTTAATTCTGCTGCCCATGAGGACTGACCATTACACTGGGGTAAAATAAGAGACAGAAAAATTGTGTAATATCGTGAGTCCTATGTGGTTTTGTAAATGTTAAAAATCCATAAACTATTAATAGGGGTTTCTAAAGTGTTTTCCAAAGTAAAATAAATATTGACTTTCCAGTATCCAATTGTGTTTGGTCCCACATATTTCTAGACTTCACATTACTCTCTGTGCAAGGTATACACAAACCTGTTTTGAAGGTAAATATGTTTTGAGAAACAAAGGAAAAATGTCTTAATGACAAATTTTACATAGGTTTTCTTATACCACCGTGAACTGCTATACAAAAGCATCATGGTTATCTGAACACTATTTTCCAAAAAGCAGATCTAAATATGCCTCATGGACTCATGCACTCAGAACAAGTGTGTCTACCTACAGCACCGCCTGTGTTATAGAGCAAATATGATTTCCATGCAAATGTATAGTGAAAGAAAAATAAGGACTATTAAAAGCACAAGGTAAATAAGAACAGAGATTTACAGCTTTAGAGGATCCTTTCATTGCAATGTAATTAAAATAAAAGCACCGAATATGAAGAGCATAAGAGGTGATGGCCACCTATGAAGGTTATTTGTGCAGAGAGACACAGACATTCAGTTAGTACATTCAGACTGAATATTCTCAGAGAAAACATAGAAGATAAAGGGTAAAAAATAACTCGTGTGAAGATACTGAGGATCCCTGTAGAGTTTTGCAGCCCAGAGGCTGAAAGAGCAGAAGTTGCCAAGTGTTGACGGCAGTGCTCACTGCAAAGTCATGTCTGCTGCCCAGGGCAGGCTCTTCACCCCTGCTCCATTGTGCTTCCTGACACCTCCAGGGTCTCCCGAGGGAGGCTGTCTCCATATCCATCCTCAGCAGTGTCCTGCAGAGCCCTCTGGAGAACCAGTTTGAGGGTGTTGTGTCTCCGCTGCCTGAAGGAGCCAATGAGGAAGTAAATGATGGGGTTGGCAGAGCTGTTAACACAGGAAAGGAAAACACACAGCACATTATAATAACAAGGGACTCCCAACAAATTAATTTGAAGTAGAAACTGGGGGAGACTCAAGATGCCTAACGGCAAACCACAGAAGAGGAAGACCACCATTGTAAGAAAGATGGTCACATAGAGTCTGGTCAGTGGGATCCGATGTGAACCACAGAACATCCTGACAATTAGGATAATGTTAGATCCAGAGAGAATCACACATAAAATTATCAGGTATGTGAGAAGTGAAATACCAGCTGACATACATATGTCATTAACAGTTTCGTCATACTGTATAAAACAAATGTACACATTAAAAGTGGTGATGAGCAAAGACAGGATCCAGAGAATCCCACAGATGACGGCTGACATGTATCTTGGTCTATGACAGCGGTACCAAATTGGACACAGGACTGACAAGCAGCGCTCCATGCTGATGCCACTGAGCATGCTCAGGCCAGTGATATAGGAGCACAATATTATATAGACGGAAACATGCAAGATAATGACATTGAAGAAACGTAAGCTCATTTCCAAGACTAGGAGAATAAAGTAGCTGTTGAGGATGATGAAGTCAGCTACAGCCAAGTTGAGGACGTAGACTGAGATGGCATTTCTGCACATGCGGAATCCAAGAAGCCAGACCACAACTGCATTTCCTGTTGCCCCAACCCCAGCCATGATGAGAATCAGCCAGGACAGGATCATTGCCACTGGACAGGTTTCAAAGAAGTCGTAGGAATTTCCATTTGTTCTGTTGACATCTGAACTCAAAGTTGCTGTGGCTGTGTTCTTGCCCAAGAAGCTCACGCTGGTGGTCCTGGGAACACAAACAAGCCTTGAGCACCTGTTGTATGTCTCTGATTCTCAGCATCACCCCGTATTGTGGGAATTATTTAGTAGCCTATCAAGACCTGGAATTCTTGAATGTGGATTCAGATTCAATCCTACCTTTACTATATAGCTGGAACCGTCTGTCCTGCACTTCAGGTCCTTTAAATGATATGGAAATATACTATGCTCCCATCACCCTAATCAGTGGCCTTGTGCTACAAACACTGCACTAATTCTCTGCACCTGAAATTTCCTGTCAGACGCACAAATTCAGAGGTGATGATCATACTGTCATAACTAACAGGGCTCCACCCAAGAGAAGGAAGACTTGCTTCATTGCCATGTGTATCATGTGAGCTCTTTCTCAGAGAGAGCTGATGCTAACTGGGCTTAGGAATATCTCTGTGTATCAGGCTTTGAAGACAGAAAGAATTTATACACCCTTGTTTAGTTTTTGTGAAGTATTAATAATCTCAGTATTGATGCAGTGAAAGACATTGTGCACAATAGACATATTATATGAATGGTTTGAGTGGAAAATAAAAACGAAAACTCAGTTAAAGGTGTCAGAACAGACATATAACATGTAATGAGAATTCCATTTTTCCAAATCCTTCTGTGAGCAATGCTGAACATATTAAGAATTATTTGGACTGGGAAGATGGCTCAATCAATAAAATGTTTGCTTTGCAACTGTTACCTCCTGAATTTAATGCCCCAGACCTCACGTGGAAATAAATTTGATGTGGTGGCAGTGATTGTAATTCTGCTGCTGAGAAGGCAGGACAGGTGATCCTGTGGCTCAATGACCGTGCAGTCCAAACTCCTTGGCTAGATTCAGGTCAATGATGACCCTTTCTCAAACAAAAATGTAGACATTACTTGGAAGAGAGACACCTGAAGTTGTCCTTTACCTCCACATGCACAGGTAGGTACACATGTGCACGTGTATCCCCCACTAATATTCACATACATGAACAGACATCCACACACAGACCCATATAATTGTCCTCC